GGACATTAATGATGATACAATAATTAATCTACAGATCTTATTCAAATTTTGCCAGTTTTTCTACTAATGTTCTTTTTCTGGTCTCAGACCCAATCTAGGATCCCACATTGCATTTAATTGTGATGTCTCTTAAGTGTCTTCCAATCAAGTAGCAGCTCTTTAGTCTTTGATCTTGACACTTTTGCACAATATTGAATACTTATTTTGTAGAATGTTATTAAATTTAATATTTTCTCATTATTTGATTGAGGTTGTGTATTTTTGGTAAGAATATCACAGAAGTGATGTGCCCTTCTCAGTGACCTATACACCACTTGGTTTATAATCGTCTTGAATATTTCCTCTATATATGTTTAGAACCATATCAGACAGGGTTATATTTTTGCTTGTAATGTCGAACAAAATTTAGAGAATTTAAGAAGAGAAGGAAAGTCTGTTTTATTTACCAACATTTTTACTCCTTTCTGTGTTTTTTTCCTTCCTGGTGGAGCTCCAAGAATCCTGCTTTTATCATTTTCTTTGTTACTTTAGTCATTTTTTAGGGTAGGTATGATGGCAATATATTCTCAGTTTCCATTCGAGAATGCTTGGGTTTTTCTTCATTCCTTAAAGATATTTTTACTGGATATAAAATTCTGGGTTTATGTTTTGTTTGTTTGTTTGTTTGTTTTTTAGCTCTTGAAATATCTTGTGCCAATTCTTTCTGGCCTTCATGGGTTCTGTTGAGAAGTTCCTGTTAAATGTTTGCCTCCATAGGTGAGGAGTTGTTTTTCACTGCTTCCAAGATTATTCTTTGTTTTTAACTTTCAGAATTTTGATTATGATGTGTCTTGGCATGGGTTTCTTTGTGTTTCTTCCATTGGGTGTTTTCTCAGCTTCTTAAAGCTATAGGTTTATATCTTTTACTAAAATTTGGTAAATATTTAGCTATTATTTCTTTAAGTTTTTTTTTTTTAGCCCCAATCACTATCTCTTCTTTTGGGACTCTGAACACACAAATATTAGATTTTTTGTTATGGTCCCACACACACATCCTTGAGGCTCTGTTCATTTTTTCTCAATCTTTTTTCTTTTGGTTGCCCAGATTAGGGAATTTCTATTTTTCTATCTTCAAGTCTACTGGTTCTTTCCTCTGTTCTGTCCATTCTGCTATTAAGCCTACCCATTGAGTTGTTTATTTTGTTTCATGTATTTTTCAGTTGTAAAAGTTTGATTTGATGTATCACCAGTATCACCCCAATAAATTTAATTTTTAATAAAGTTAGATTTGGTTCTTATTATATGTTCTATTTCTTTGGTGAGACCTTTTTAAAAAATTTATCTTTATTGAAAATATTACAGATGTTTC